CATCAGTCTTTCTGGTTAAACCATCTAATTTTCAAAGGGAGGAAAAACACAAAGCATTTCTGATTGGCTCATCAACTGTTCTCCAAAGAGGTAAAAGACAGTCTGGATGAGAAGAGAACTAAGAGCTAAGGGAACTGTCACTGCCTTTACAGTTTGGTCAAGACAAAACTGTTCATTTGTGCCTTGTAGGCATTTTTGTCTCTCACAGTCTCGAGATGACACTTGGATAGTAAGAGAGAGAAGTAGGAGCAGGTGTACCTATTAAATATGTAAAATATACATCCTCTCTTCCATTCACTCAGAAGATGTATTTCTAAAGGGATGTGAAAAGTCACCTAATATAAAGACAGACAGGTAGAAAAAAAAATCTATGCAGTTTTTTAGCACACAAGAATGCAAGTGGGCTTAGCACAACAGCCTTCCACAGAAAATAAATGCAAGCCAATTAAAAATTCAGGGTTTTTTTTCTTTAAGCTAATTCCTCAGGTTTTGCTAATTAGCAACCAATAGTTCTGTCATCTGAGCTGGCGAACACAGGAAGAATACCAGTGGTATGTTTTCAATCAAAGCATTTGCATGGAAGAATGAATCATATTTTCCACGAAGAATTACTGCTTAGGAGCAGTTGGGGGCAGAAGAAAAGCAGCCTTCCACAACTATAAAACTGTAAAGGAGACCTGAAATTTTTTAAACAGGAGGCATCTTTCTGCCCCCTTTTCCAAAACCAGCAGAGACCCTATAATATGACATGACTAGTGAATCCGAGGAACTTTGCACAAAGATCCCTGCAGGAATAGTTTAAAGACTTCACAGTAAGACAGAAGACAATGCAACACATGTTTTCTGTAAGAGGGAAGTGAATAAAAGTTAAGTGTCGGCCAGGGTACAGGAATGCTTTAACTATTATGTCACCTGCCTTTGAAAGTTTATAGAAGATAAACGCATGGCAGTCAATGAAAGCAAGGAGAGATGGTGGTTTGAAATACCTGGCTACACACAGAGCATGGGCAGAAGAAAATTGCTGAGGAATATTTGGGCAGAGGATGGGGCGTCTTACCCTGACTCTGATACAAGAAGATCAGGTCCTTCAATCTAACCCCTCCCATGCTCCCCCAAACTATAAAGCGCTAGTGATCCTGTAACCGAGAGCCTGTCAGCACCATGCCATGCCTGAGCCATGCATCTAAAACGTCTACTTTCGCGCCTTGATATACAGCCCATCCACTGTGACTCTTCATGAGCAAAAACCCCTACTCCCCGGGGAGGATTTTATTCTAAACATATGCTGTGAATGTCTGAAGTGCCCGCTGTCCCTGAGCTTTCTTTTTTCTTTTTTTTTTTTTAAGCCACAAAACCTAAAATACTTTGATTTTTGCCTAACTACAATTTCTGAAGATGCAACATTGCATTCCCAAATATAATAAAATCTTGTGCAATAAAAATTTTACAGATGTCCTTCTGAAGGGGGAGAAAAAAAAAAAACAAAAACGGTTTTCCCTTTTCCGGTCTTACAGGAAGCCTGCCCACACTTTAGAAATACAAAGTTCATATATATAGAAACACAAATTAGGCATCTTGGAAAGTCTACAATTTCCAACCACAGAGAAATGAAGGAATTGCTGTGAGTGTTCACATGGCCAGCCCACTGGATTAGAGGAGTCTTTTCTTTTGACCGGCTCAGCAGAGCTAGCAAATAACTCAAGGGCAAGGGGAATGGCCTAAAAAGATGTCTCTAAACTTGAGCTACTGAAGGTCTGCAGTGCGCTTGTGTTGTTGACAGGGCCCAGGACCAAGACAAACTACACCCACAAGATAAACAAATGTGACCAAAACTGTACGTCTCATTTTCAAAAGAAGGTATTTCTTCATACACTAAAAAATTCATGGAAAATTTATCACCTTCAGTTCACATCAATCATTAGCTTTGCCTGGATAATTAAATCCATGTGAGCAGACAGATTTTATTATAAAGTGTCTTAAAAAATACTTGTGATACTGGTAGGAGATTAAGTAATCCAACAGAGTTCTAAAGAAAAAGTAAAGTCATATCCCATATGACGCTGAGGCTTAGTTTAGGATATCTTTAAATTATTCAATATGAATAAATAATACCGTATCTTTTATGTTCCTGTATGTATTAAAGTTTGCATGTGTTACACAAAACACTTTCTGCTAAGAATTTAAAAGTTAACACTTTTCAAACTTGTTTAAAATCTTTACAATTTCTTTACTTACTTAACAATAAATTATAGTCTATCTACTGAGGTTGACTGAGAAAGATTATGTTCAGAAGGCCACAGTGCACAGCTCTAACCACACCACAGTTACAGGTTTGCAGTTTGCTCAGTTCCCAATCTGTGTTATAGAAGAAACTGGTCTCAGGCAAGCAGGTGACCAGGTCTGGCGGAAAAAGGAAAAAAAAAAAAAACAGTCTACACTGAATCAAATACGAGTGCAACCCTCTCAAACATGACTTAAGAGAGTCAACTTATCATATATTGATGAGGAGGAGGAGGATGAGGATGTAGAAGAGAAGGCAAAAAGGGGGAGAAGGAGGAAGAGAAAGCAGAGAAGAACTACCTTAGTACTTTTGAGGCACTTACCATGTGCCAGAGATTTTAGTTAATACTTTATTTGCATTGTCTCAACTTCCACAAGAACACCATGGAGCAGGCAGTCATATTATCGCCCCATCCCACAGCGAGGAAAGGATTCCTAGAGGGATCAGCACACTTGTCAAGGTCACACAGCTAGCAAGTGACAAAGCTGGACGTTGAACCCAAATTCCCTGAGCACTGAGCCAATCTGTGCAGTCTTTAGGATTTCCCGTCCATATTATCTATATAATCATGTAATTTATGACCAATTTAGGGAGTACACTGGGATGGTAGGTCAAAATCGCATTTACCATTTGGTTACAGACAGCTTACACAGTTTATAAGTTATCACATAATTTTAACACTGATTTGAACAATACAGTGGGAAAATCTAATGAATACCCCACTATGAATGCTGTAACCTCAAAAGAGAGTGATGATCGATCAATTCAGATCCCCCTAAGAGTTCTTCCATGCCCACCGTTAGTTAATAGGAAATTGGAGGTCCTGGAGATGGGTCCCACTTGCACCACTGAGGGAGGATGAGGGTCCCAGGTGTAGAGAGCTCCCAGCCCCTCAAAGGACAGGAAGACTCTATGGGGGAAACCGTTAAAACAAACGAACCAAGAACAAGCTGCAAGTTGAATGGCACAGAGAGTAAGTTAACGGTTATCTGCTCACTACTGTCAGCCAAAGAAGAAGTACTCATCAGCTGTCCTGACTAATTAAATACCTCACTAATTACTGGGCATCTTGAAAAGACAACAAAACATAAATATGAGATGGGAAAAGTTTGTGTTCACACATAAGAACAAAAACAATGCAGGGAGCTTTGGCTAAGAGTCTAGCCTAAATTTTTCTTAAAAAGTAAGTCTACTACCTGGGTCTATAAATACAGGTAGAAAGCATGTCGGAGTCCCTCAGATTTTCTGCGTGGATGATGTTTAAAAGAGACTCACAAATAAAAATATAATGCAGAAAACTTGGGAATGTGCCCAGAGAAAAAGCCTACCAAGACTATTTTAAACCTTCATTCCTGAAAGGAAAGATGAATAAAATAAAACTAAGTAAATCCTGAATGAAGGAAGGAACCAGCCCAATAGCCTTCCCCCTTATTTCTGTATTTACAGAAATAAGATTGATAACCACTTTTGAAACAGAGAAGTTGTAATCTTTTTCGAAAGCTTAGAAGAATCCAGAAAACTCTCCTCCGTGCTTCTGACTACTTTCTAAAAAATGCACTCTCCACTTAAAAAAAAATAATGTAGCTTCCATCTTTTCCAACAATATAATCTGATTGTGGGGGGTGGGGAGTAGTGGTTGCTGAGACTTAAGGTTATGCGAGGCCCTTTGATCTGAGGAGTGAGCATTTCCCTTTGCTGCAAGGCAACTAATGAAGGGATGAAATTAGCTTTTATCCTGGGCACTTTCTTGAGCAAAAAAACATGCACTAATCAGCTGTCCTCACTAATCAGTCATCTGGCTAATGACCTTTTGCCTTAAAACACTAAAATTTCTGAATGATGTGGAAAAGGGGAAACACAAACCAGTCCCCCTCACTGGAGCTCAATGGATCATCTGGAATTGGAGCCGGGAAGGTTAAATGGCGAGTCTGAATCCTGGCAAGGTGATAAATCTGTAATCAAGAGCTGCAAGCTTTGGCACCTCAATATGAACTTCATTACTCCACAACCAAATTGTATTTTTTTAACTAGAAACAGGCCAGAAATAAACTCAACCCTTATACATTTTTCTTTATATTCTGCCTTTGGAGAAAACCATCCCATACTTGAGTTCAGAGTCCTAGTTAATTTCTTAAACGTGATTAGTGCTGAGAAAGGAGTTTCTGATGTGTCTGGCATGCTGGTTAGAGAGGAAAATACAGCATAACGAACAATCTTCCGTATTGAGGAATTTAGCACAGATTTTTTAAATGAGGTTTGTTTTCACAAACCATCAAAAATGGGAATAGCCAAAATCATTAAATTAAAAAATCATTAAAAATGGGAATTGCGGTTGTTGAGGATTTCTCTTAATGTAGCCTGCTTTCATAACTTCATAACAACATTTTTTTTCTCCTGCAGCATCTGTTTGGATGGAGTAACTTTAGCTCTACTTCTCAACAAAAGTCTCATGTGGATTAGTCACCAATGGACCACTTTCCTGAAGGCCGCCCCACTGAAGACTGACGTTGCTTAGAGATGTAAGAAAACATCTCTCTCTAAAAAGAATGGGTAGGAAGTAGTGAAAGTAAGAGGGAAAGTGAAAAAGAAAATTACACCTTTTAATAAATTATACAAGCCAAAACTTCATAAAGCACACACACACACACACACACACACACACACACACACAGCCCTCTGCATAGCTCCTGAACAAGTGCTGACTGGCATGGGCACTTACGGTAGTGGGGCTCCATGTAACCATTCCTGGGGTCCATGGCAAACACCGTCCCACGGTACGGCACAGAGGGCTCCGCCAGGTGTGGCAGGGACCCATGGATCTCTTTCTTGATCAATGAGGCCCTCTCGTCACTCGATGTTGAAGGTTCCTCACTGACTTTGCTGAGCCCCTGGACATTCTGTGGCTGCATAGTGATTGCGTTTCTTCTCTCTCTGTGATAAGTCTGTCCAGGACTTTCATCCTCTAAAGAAAGAAGAAAAATGAAAGAGTCTGTAAACTACTTTAAGGAGCAATTAAAAAACCATGATCAATGAGGTCTCATTCTCAATATCCCTCTCCTGGAAAAAAAAAGTCTCTTTCTCATTCACGGCCACTTTGAAAGCCACAGGGCTGGGACGGGATCTTTGCAAGACAAAATTGTTTATGAATGAGGGTCCAAAGTACACAAATACACAGGGAAGGATGAAGGGGAGCAGGTAATGAGCCTATTAAACGGAGATGTAGGGGTCGGCAAATTGGCATCACCAGCTTCTAGCTGGATCTGCGTGTGAGGTTTCTGCTCATGGGCTGTCCAACATCTTGCAGGTCCTACATGGAACTGAAACCTTTGCCAATCTAAGACTGTGCATGTGCAGCTTCCCTTTGCCTGCCTGGGGATGCGGGGCCTCCGGGGTGACACAAAGTCCTTCCAGCTACCCACTGAGGCTCTGGTTGCTCCAGCGGGTGTAGGGCCTTTGCTCCTAGAGAATGACCTACTAGGAAGTTATCCAAAAGTTTATGTGGTTTTGTTGTTTTAAGTCAGATTTGTAGCCCAGCAAGAGATTTGACAGAGCCAAAAATGGAACAGAAAACTCATTGGTGACAAGGGATAAAGGTGCCAATCATGAAAACCTACAGAGCCTCTAGTGAGATACTTCCTGCTTCTGTCCATACAACAAAGCTGAGACCTAACTGGAAAACAGAATGAGACTGAAAGTCCAGATGTGAGATGGCTCTGAGGGTGAGGAAGGAAGGTAGGTATGGGGGATGTTGATATGTGTCCATGTTCTGGTGGGTCCATACATTTCTTCAAAGATGTAAGAAACAGCTTGAAGAAATTCCATATACAGTTGGTATTCCAGTTTCCTAATACTTCAGTTCCTTTTGATCAGTAAGAACTTTCCATCTCTCCACTATGATTCTCTGCAAATGTGATTGGATGACCTTTCTATAATAGCGGATCAAAGAACCCATGCATAAAATTAAATCACACAGACTATGTGAACCCACAACAAGTGGACCAATTCATCTCTTTGAATCATACGTGAACTCTAAACTACATGATCCCAAACAAGTTCCACATTTAATCAACAGACTGTGCTCTGGCAGACAAGCGCTGATGGAAAGAAAGTTGCTGTCCAGGTACCGCTTAGACATCAAATGTAAAAACTGTTTTCTATTCCTATCTAAAAAAAGGAAAACAAAACAAAACAACAAAAAAACTGTATTTGGGTATAAATAAAACCATTGTTGTGCATTTTAGATAAACAGATCTTGAACACATCTTATTCCCATATACAAATTTATCTTTAAAATAATCCATAAAGCAGATATGATTAACTAAGGACTCCCCCGATAAACAGAAGAATAATGCTTTAGCAGTTTCATAACCCTGCTCAAAGTCAGAAGGAAGTAGAACTGTAAACACAGACTTGCATAAAAATACAAACTGAAAATAACAAATACTATTTATGTTGACTCAGGACTTGAACTACCTAAAGCCAGTAGCGAGTTTAGTTTTTCTGCCTGTGTGTAGGACTTGAAAACTAAGCAATATATTCCTTACCTTAGCAAATGACTTACAAAACAGAATAGACAATAAGGTATGTTCTGGTCTTTACAGAGAATTTGCTGACTACTAAAGGTAACTGTGAAATATTATTTTAATATTGTCTTGTGCAGATCCTCATCCCAAACCTTATAATTAAGGGGTAAATTATACATTTAATCTATCAAGTAAAAACAGAAACAAAAACAAAAATATCCTGTAATCCCACGTGTTCACATTGATCTCTATGAAAGCAATTCACACCACGCTCCTGGTAATTTTAAAACAAACTACAAAAGATAAAATACATTTTTACTTTCCCTTGTAACTAATACTTTTAGGCAGTAGGCCACCCTTGTACTTCATTAGCAGAAACCCACAGTTTATATAAAAATGCTGCAGTTATGTAAAAGCAAAAGGGTGTCAAAACACTAAAACTTACATCAGTTTTATAAATATTCCTATAACCTACAAATGGCCCGAGTCATATTTTCCACTAATTTGTGCTCTGTATAAAGCCTTTATTTCAAACTTAAATCTGAAATGAACTTCCAGCACTGAAGTGCAAATTCTGTAGAAAGGGACCTTCATTTGGAGGCTAGAAAACCCTTCCTCAGGGGGGCTGTGACACATAATTAGCATTCTCTGGGAAAGATGAATAACCAAGCTCGGCTAACCTGTTCCAGGTTTAAAACAGGATTTCCTTGACTTAATCGTCCTAGAAGAAATTAACTTTTCTTCTCTTAAAACGGCATCCCTATAATAAACTCTGTCTTACAAACTATGTGTTTATGATGAGTATTTGAATCCAACCTCACAAATAACTGAATAATGAACGGGTTATGGCCTGACCAGAGAGTCCTCCCACCATTCCCCCAACCTCTTGAGAGAATAAGCTCAGAGAGGGTAATGGGGCAGCTAGCTGAGTGGGGAGGGTGAGTGGAAATGAGGCTACCTTTTAGCTCAGTGATTTTCTTAATGAGAGTTCACCCAACAAAAGTAAATATTAAAGTTATAACAAGAAGTTAGCGAAGTGCACATTTTTAACACAGAAAAAATTAAATTAAAATTACTATTCCCTTAGTAAAGTTAAATACAGGCAAGATTTTTTTTTTTTTTAAATGTGAAAACTTCCATCAGGAAACTTACTTTTACAATAGTCAGTGCTATCCTAACTTTACCCAACCACACATCTCCGCCCCAAAAGGAAAACTCCAGCAGACAAATACTTCATGAAGTTTACCTCTTGTACCAAGTTGCTTGTGACGGGCATTCATATGAAAACCTGACAGTACACACACTCCACAATACAAACAGTTACGAGGCTTGAAAGAACTCTGTATACAGGGAAAGGGACACTTTCCAAGCAATATTCCTGCCTGCTCTTATAAATTTAGCAACCACTTCAGCAAGCCAAAAGACGAAAGCTGTCTAATCTTGTTCAGTTGAGCCGAGTTGTTCAATAAAGTTTGAGAGTCAGTGCAGACAGGCTACGCCAGGCCAAATTATTGACAGAAACACACTGTCCACCATGGCAACAGGCAGAAGTCTGCTGCAAAAATGTAAGCAAACAGCCCACTGCTCCAAGAGCATCTGCCAATGGACTTTAACAGCCAAACACAAGGCAACTGTTCCCGCTTCTCTATGTTTAACAGCTGCAAGCTCGGGGGTCAAACTGAAACATGCAATTCACTAAAATCTTTCAGGAAAAAAATGACTTTAAATACTGTCATCATAGTCCCACTTTGTACCTCCTCCTTTTTGCATATCCATCCTCAAGTGGAAGTTAACAAATCCCTGCCCCCAGAGAGCTGCCCAAAGCAGCACGTTTTAGAAACTGTCCCAGAATTTCCAAACTCATCCAAAAGCAACTGACATCAAGATACTCTTAGTGCTAGAAACTGAGAAAAAAAAAGAAAAGAAAAGTGGGGTCCTTGCAAACAATGCTTAGGATGATTGCAATAAAGGTCTGGAGAAAGTAATCACGTTGCTTCATGAAGCAGGACTCGAACATGCACTTGTGTGCGCTTGCAGACAAACACCTATCCGATTTCTCATGGTAACCGAAGAAACAGGTTTGGGTTTTTTTGTTTTGTTTTGTTTTGTTTTTTTCTGCCCATGACTTGAGAGAAAAGTTTCAGGCGATTCCTTCCAGATAAAAACAAAACTCTGCCGGGCATCACTAACTAAGGACACCTCCTGTCAGCTAACAAAATTAGCTGATTAGGAGCTTACAGTACACCTGTTCACCCCCTTTTCCCCCTTAGGATTGATTTTTCCCTTAAAACCCATTTTAATACCACTACTCCTCTCTTGTCCCAAGACCTAGAAGACGGGGAGTATAAGAGAACAGACAATACTTACAACACAGTCCCCAGGCTCTGGCTAGCTACTTTGTGCCAACTTCTCTTGGTGAGCTCTCTCTAGCTGCGCAGACCCTCTAGGAACATTCTCGGTGTCTCTCTGCCTCCCTCTCCCTCTCCCTCTCCCAGGCAGTGCTGCTCCCATTAGAGGAATTAAAAGTGGTTGGAGCCATGCTAAATTTAACAAGCTCATTAGTATTCTTTCTGAGTGCTTCCGAGTGAACTCTCCCTATTCAAGCCTCTCTCTCCAGCAGAAGGGTCAGGCGGCTAATCATTAAATCAAACTAATGTCACCCTATCACAATCAGCCCGAGAGAAGGAGGGTTTATTATTTCAGTTTATGCTAAATAAACGGTTTTACAAATGGTCCCCAAGCAAGGTCAACAGCAGCTTCAATTACAAGACAAACTTAACAAGAGTTGCTATAAACCAAGTACTCTGTATTGACTTAAGAACAGGCTCCGCTCCACATATTGCCACTAGCAGGATTGTACAGGAATGCATATTGTAAAATAAAGGAAGGGGTGAGCTTTTTTCTTTGCCAGAATTTGCGAGTGCACAGCGACTCCTCATTCACCTCTCTCCAACCAGCTAGCCGCTCAGCTCAATTCACCCCACACAAAGGCTGGAGCCTAGACCTCAATGGACCGAGTGAAACATGTTCAAAACTAGGCTCTCTATTGTGACTGAATTTCTTAACATCTTTTCAAAAAGCGGAGAATGCCTTGAGGCTAAAGGAAGAAACAGGCTAATGGTGAATTGGGAATTCTGAGCAAATTTCAGAGCCCTTTCCTCCTAGCTTTTGAGGTTGAAAGCAAGCTCTTTCCTTTCAAGTTTCAAAGTCCTTTTTCCTCCCGCAGTGTCACAGAAGGATTTGAAAAGAAGGTAATTGTGCTCGCAGTCTCCCTGATCAGAGCTTACGTCCTATTTCTGGTATTTCGGAATACTTCTTGCAATAATAGTGCATATAGCTCAATCCCTTAACCGGCCTGCACTCTGCAATTGCTCATTAAATGAACAATTGCTGGTATAAAATGCCTTTTATGTTCAAGGTCTGGATATAAGATAAGCAT